GTGTGTGTGTGTGTGTGTGTGTGTGTGTGTGTGTGTGTGTGTGTGTGTGTGTGTGTGTGTGTGTGTGTGTGTGAAAGACAGGGTTTGATTCAAGAATAGGACTGAAGCCAGGGCACCAGAAGTCAGAAACACGGGGTAAGTCATCAATAACACACTAGTTTGAGTTACAGCCAGGCTATCAGTGAGAGAAGAGACAAAGAGAGACAAACAGGGAGAAGGAGATGAAAGCGAGAAAGGGGATAGAGTATGAGAGGAGGACCGATAAACTGGAGGTTAAGGGAGAGAGGAAGAAAGAGAGGAGAGGCGACGAAGACCTGAAGGACTCTGAGCAACACAAAACTTCAACAGAGATAAAATTTTCCAAAAGTGTACTGAGGACAAAAAGGAGGGAAAGAAACATTTTCTACCCTCTCTCATCCTGTCTCTTTTGTCTAAAGCTCGGCTCACACAAAGGCCCACTGCATCACTTCCAGCACAGGGACATCATGTTCAGCTTCAAATAAAAAAACAGCGAGCAGAGAGAGAAGGGCTTTCATGTTCACGGACACTTCAAGGGGACGCATGTGCTTTAATGACGACAGAAGGCAGTCAATACAACCTAATGATTCTCCATCTTAACAAGTTATCCGTTGTTCTTATTCACTGCTAAAGATGAACAAACAGCTGTCTGTTTTCAAGGCCTTTGTTACTTTGCTTTACTGACTATTACTGTATATAAAAGATGAACTTAATCATAGTCACACATTGTATGTGGACTAATGTCTTAAAGCCTCGCATCTGGCATTCTGCCCGTTGTTTTCTTCGGTGACACACTTTTGACAAGAGGCTGGAGGTCTAAAAATCAGCCAATGCTTACTCGTTCGCTTTATTAGCAAAGTGAATCTATAAGTGCAGCACTGCTCATAACACTGGAATTTCACTCTCCACAACTGGAGTTTAGACGGTGTGTTAGTACAAATCAAGCCATATTAAGCAGATAAGTGCATAAACACGACTGGGATTGAAATTAGATGAGGTGAAGCAAAATGCTATTTTTATACCTAAAATACAATTTAAATAGGTGAGTTACAGAAAAAACACAACTCTATGTGCAATAAAGCTTCAAATATAAAGTTGGCATTTTAACCAGGTACTGTAGGCAGGTGTAGCTTTCTGGTCTGAGTGAAGCCACTGTTTTCACGGCAGCAGAGGGTGACTCCTCCGGTTTAAAGTCTGACTGTATAAAACTGTGAAATTCCCCTCCTGCTCACATCAATAAACACTTTACTGATGAGTTTAAGATGTCTTTGATGTAAATTATGGTCGTCGTTGGACTCAAAAAGGATGATAAAGCAAGCTGAGCTTTAGGAAGGTATACCTTGTGATTAACAGCCATCAGTATTTGGTCTCATCCACAAGTTTTCACATTGGCTGGGACTTTACTAACTAATCGCTGATGTCATGTTGGCCATTCCTAACTTTAGCATATGATTTTAAGACTGAAGTCTAACTTTTGTATTCAGCCTCAAGAGGTCATTTGATGAACTGCAGTTTTTGGCACTTCCCTGTTTCTGTTTTCAGTCTTGGAGGCTGACATTCGTTTACAGGCTCTTTTCTTTGAATTTTTAAACTGATTTAAATCACTCTTACAAAATAGTTTGTTTTTTTTTCCCCGAGTGATAAATCAGAAGCTTGATGAAACTTTTAAATAAGTTATTAAAGCAGAATTCATATAATTTTATGAATCTCTATTAAAGGCAACCAAACTCAGAAAAAATATCCCTGAACAAGTTACATTTAAGTAAAAAAATGGTGAAAATGTTTTGACCTACATACAGGTGTAATACAGGTGTGACCTTTTACATTTTGTACCTTCAGTCACTCACTATGTGTTAACAGACCTCTCTGCATAGAATCACTTGTTATTAACCTCTGTCTCTCTTCCACTGCTTGTCTTTATCCTGTCTTCCTTCTCTCACACCAACCAATCACAGCAGATGGCCCCGCCCCTCCCTGAGCCTGGTTCTGCTGGAGGTTTCTTCCTGTTAAAAGGGAGTTTTTCCTTCCCACTGTCACCAAAGTGCTTGCTCATAGGGGTTCATATGATTGTTGGGTTTTTCTCTGTATGTATTGTTGTAGGGTCTACCTTACAATGTAAAGCGCCTTGAGGCGACTGTTGTTGTGATTTGGTGCTATATAAATAAAATTGAATTGAATTGAATAGATGTCTACTGTTTCTTAATGAAACTCAAACCTCCATGCAAAAATATATTTGTTTTACAGTGCGTCTTTAAAATTTATGTACATTATAGTTTCTCTGAGCACAGGCTCATCCTGCAACATATTATGTGCATTCGTACATTAACACAATCCCTGTGCTATACAGTGTTTCATTTTCACCTTTCCAAGGAGGCTCCATCTGATAAAGACACACATACACACCTTTACTTTCAAGGTTTGCACATTTAATTGCTTCAACTAAGAGAAACTTCTGTAACCTTGAGAGACACTTCTCAGACTGCATATTGGCTTTCAGAAACTCTGTTTGCTGGAAATGTTGAAAGAAACTCTGACATCTGATCTAATCGAGTATGGCAGCGTATCGCTCGTCAGTGGTACGTGGCGGTGTGCTCGTAGCTCCAGTAATGGCTAATCTTGTTTCAAAAGAGCTAATTTTCTGAAATTTGGTAGGAAGCCTGATATGGCTTGTGTTTCACAGATTACTTCACAGCTAATTTCCCACCAAGCGCTCAAGCGCCAAAGCTGGTGTTCCCTTGAAGCGTCGCAATCGTGTGCGTGCCTGTAGACAAATTAGAAAGAGCCCCAGAGAGTGACAATTACATCAATATGGGCAGGAAGGGACTTCTAAAATTTCACGCTGATCCAAAGCTAATAGCTTGAGCCAAACATGCAGCATGGCCGTGTAATGCCTGTGCTACCTGATCCTGAAAGTAAATGAGCCACATGTATTTGGACACATATTGTTTCAGTAGATAAGTGTGACTGGATGCTCGGGGGTGACCATGATAGGTGTAAACAAAGATCAGATTCCACCCAGGGGGAAAAGACGGGCGTAATTTTTCTGACGCCAAAGCCACTAACACTAATTCATGAGATGGATACATTGCAGAGAATTGAATTAGCATCTTACACGACTACATGAAGATTGCCGGGGTTGTAATCACACTACGTAACTGATGCTAACTGAGAAGTGGATCAGATGTCCGTCCGCTCCTCTCCAAAACTTTGGAGGACCACTCAGCATTAAAATGCTCATAACTGCAGACCTTTAGATTCTATTTAGAATTTGCATAATGGCTTTTCAGAAGTGACCACAGTTAAGCTCAGCTAATTCACTGTCAACTCAGACAAGAAGGCCACAGGGTTCGAGCTTTTTCTCTGAGGAATCTGGAAGTTTCCGAGGAAGATGAAGTCTTAAATAATCTCCTGGAGCTGCATGAGCATGTGAATGTGTGAAGTTCATGTAGGATTTAGACAATGCATTTTTATTGATCTTTTTGATGTATCAGTTTTTGCTTGGTCGGACCGCCTTCTGCTGCTCCCGCCTCAAAAAGGAAATAGCTTTCACAGTTTTCACAGGACTGTGCAGTTCTCTGAAAAACGAAATAAACTCCATGATTCAGTAGGGGAGACCGGGGATAGTTGTAACATTTTTGACATTTCTGTCTGTAAATTGGAGCTCTTTTAAGGTAGTGGATTCAAAATGTAATACAAAGTATTTACATGTCTCTGCTATTAAATAGTGCAGCTATTTTCTCTGCAGCACAATTACCCATTGCATGGTATGGTCTCAAACACGAAGAGTGAAATGTTACAATTAACCCCATAGTCTGGGTTAGTTGTAACATATCCTGGGGTAAAATGTAACACAATGAAATAAGGGTACTAACAAAACATTAACATGTAATCTTTGTTTATTCAACACATGAATGCACTTACATCCATTTATGTAGCTGTGTGTGTGTGACAGAATGCAGAAATCTAGCTTTTGAACATATTCCAACCCCCCAAAAAAGACAAATTATGGAATTTTCTGCAACTGAATATTTCATTAATTTTGGTTGGTCTTCCTTGAGTTTGGCCTCATTGGCTCAGTGGGCATTATAACCTACAACTCTTGCACCAATTTTGAACATAACAATGAAGCTGAAAAAATGTAGTTGTTCACCAGCATCGCAATTCCATTACTTTTTATCATGGCTTACCTTGGTGTGGTTTGCAAAGTGCTTCAGAAAGATGAGGAAATCTGTTTCTTGCACCCATCCTGATTTATTTCCACTACCAGTACTTCCTACTGGTCCATCTCTGACACAGTGGTCTGCATAATGTATGTGTGGGAACACAAACAGTGGAGGAATTGTGTTGCCAATGGCATTAACCGCATATACAAATGCGACCAGTGAACCTCTCTCTGCTGATGTCGTTGCCCCAACTTGTTTAATATAAGTTAAAGTAATAGTGTGGTAAGTTGTAACATCTGCATTATTGTTACAACTAACCCAGACTGTTGCTGTTACAACTGACCCAGACTCCTATAGCCATGAACTAGCTAACATTACAGCCAACGGCTAAAACATTAGCACTAAAGACCTACACAGAATATATCCCCATAGACATACAAATAACATAATTTAAGTTTGATGAGTTTAACTGCAAAGCAGATAATGCTATTAGAAATTGAAATAAAGTAGAAAAACTTACTTTTTGGCATACAAATTACTTTTTTTCGTGTTAAATTGTCTGTGTTTGACAAAATGTGCTGATTTTTCACATGTGATAGCAGAACTGAATTGGGCATGCACAGGATGAGTCACATCATTTGAAACTTAGCCCTGATTGGAGAAATTGGAAGTGTTACAACTGACCCACGTTACAACTATCCCCGGTCTCCCCTACTAATAACTTCCTATAATTTCTATGGATGGAGTGAAGGTGTACTTACACAGATTCCTGTAAAAACCTGACTGTATAAGTTGTTTTACTCAGTTTGCGCTGGTTTTGTTGCAGTTCCTTAGTCTATGCCACATGTAGTTTTTGGTTCATTCCTACTCATTAGTTGCATTAGGTTTGACTTGATGTTGCTTTTCATCCTTATTACATTAAAAAGAGGGAACAGTTTTTTAATATTTTCCTGTGGCTTTACTGGTCTGTCCCTCTTCAGTTCAGTTTGGCCTGAAGTGAAATGAAACTGACGCACCTGCTCGTTTCATCAGGTAGATTTAACTTTAAAGTGTTTTGTTTTTTTTCCTCAGCAGGTCGCTGAGCTGCAGACTGAAACAAAGGGAGCATTTGCATATTAATGAAAACCAGGTTTTGCTGTCCCACAGGTATACTTTGACCAGTGCGCATTTGTCCCAGCTTGATTTGTATTCAAAAAGTCACATTAGCGTTAGCGACACAGCAAGGCCTTGGCTCGCAATAAAAGTCACAGTGAGAACAGTAATGCACGCAAACAAAGCGCACTCTCACACACACACACACACACGTAGAATTAGAAGTTGTGAGTTTACATGCACACAAAGTCACACTGAAAAACAACTCTGTCCTTTGCTTCGTCCCTCTCTGACATTTCTTTGCTTTTCTCTTTAGATGCAGCGAGCAGAGAAAGCGATTACACTTTGAAAACTTAAATAATTCATCCAGTGACTCCTGTCAACACTGAGAGCTCTTTTACAAGAGAAACATGTGTACACAACTAAAAGAAACATTAAATATGAAGCAAGTTTTCTTCATCTTTTTTACATCAAAGAGCTCTGAAGGCCAAACCGCAGAGTGACGAGGCTCTGCAGCTCGGTGGGAGAAACAGACGTTCAAGTCTTAGACTTGTCATTTTGAAATGGCCTTTTTATAACACTGAAAACCACAATGGAAACAACAATGCTGTATGACGGGAGACCTGAGCATAACAAAGTGCACACATGGGCTCATCAAACCTACAGAATCTACGTTTAAAAGAAGATCTTAAATTAAAAAAAGAGATGATGTTTTCTCACTTGCGACTGATGCTCCTCACTCTTGTTGACTCCTTGCACCTGCAGCAAGTTTTTGGCCACACCCACACAGGGCAGCCCTGACAGCACTCCCAGGTGACACGCCAAGCCAAACTCTGCAACGATCCAAACAGCGACAATCAAGTCACATCGAAAATTAAACAGCGGGGAGTAAACGTGCTTCAGCGAACTGTGTGATGCAAAGAAACGTTACAACAGAGGGCTTCACGGTGATTCACTCAGGGTTGATTTTATCAGGTGTTACACCCAACAGTCCCTTTAGTGAAAGCCAAAGTTTATACAGCTTGTCCTCAAACCTCGCTAGACTCACCTTGAACTCAGTATTTTTAACAAGCTCGAGTGGAGCTGAATGCAAATCTGTGAATTAATGATCAGTGAAAATCAGACTGAAATTTTTAGCTGTCTCTTTCTTTGAAGATGCGCTGCTGACGAGTGTCATGCTACGTACGACCCAGAGACCGAACAGCAGCATCGGCATGCACGTCATTTTTTCCATTTTCCTTTCACAGAGATGAGTGTACTCTAACATCCCGAGCCGGCTCATGGAAAACAATCATTGGACATGGGTTATGTGTCACTTCTTTGGCCACACAGACATACAACCGACAGATCTGAATCCATGCAGCTGTCTCTTATGTCACAAAATTAAGTTCAAGCTGAAGGTGTTGTTATAACCAACCAGGGGCGCTCCAGAATCTTTTCATAGGGGTGGCCGTGTGGGGGTGGCACACCAAAAACAGCGTTTTCAATTTTATTGCTGTTGTCAAATATAGGTTACTTGAAAAATATGGCAAAAAAAGAGAGAAAAAACTGAATTATATACCTAGTTTATTTCCTGCTATTAGATTTGATATCACTCAAAATATGTACATATGAAAACCAAATAAGATTTTAAAATCCATCCATCCCTTTAAAGATTCTTCCTCACTCTTGTGTTCACGTTTTTTAAAATTATTACCAACACAGAGGTCACAGAGGCGATTGGGGGGCGGGCAGCAAATTTTAAGGCGTGTCCAGTGCCCCTCCTGGCCCCCCTTTGGTGGCGCCTCTGAATCCAGCGTTATTCGCATAGGTCCAGATGGACAAGAAGATGACCTTGAGGGAAAACTGGGCGATGATTGTACAGGTACAGAGAAACTAACAAACACATTATTCATTAAATGTGTGTTTTGTTTAGATTTTTGTTGTTTGTTCGATTTTTTACAGTGAACTGTTAATATTTTTATCAGTGTTATTAAAAGTTTATTACATTATGTTATCTTTAAAGTAAAAACAGAAAATCTAAAATCTTTGTTCGGTCAGTCGCCTCACCTCTGTAATGAAAGAGACCATTCCCATCCACAAACACCACCTGCAGAGAGAACACACCTGAAATGAGTTCGACTGCAGGAAGCTCGATATTACTCGCTTTTTCCACAGCAGACTTTTCCACGTGTCTGAGGATTAAAAGCACAGGTGAAATAATAAACAGAGCTACTTCATCAACAGAGGCATTATTAATCTTTTGCTTCTACCTGTGCTATAAATGATATGATCAACTAAAATGTCCAGAGTACAAGATTTTTGTCGTTATCTATTGTGTCTATAACCCTGGGATGGCAGAAGATCTTCAAAAGCCGAAGTTAGTCAGAGCTCCTCAAACTGATATTGGAACGCTTCCAGCTCCAACACACCGATGAATTTTTAAAGCCAAAGGTGACTCCGCAGACATATTTCTGCTTGAATCATAAGGGGAGCAGTGACTGCATCTGTCCAGAGCTAAATGTCACTGGAAGTAAATCTGAGCTTGTGTGTGTGTGTGTGTGTGTGTGTGTGTGTGTGTGTGTGTGTGTGTGTGTGTGTGTGTGTGTGTGTGTGTGCATGAATTTCTAAGTGTGTGTGTGTGTGTTTCTGCACACCTGCGTGCACGAGGACGACAGAGGGACAGAGTGGGAGGCGTGTGGGCTGCGACAAACAGAAGCGAGTGGGTGAAGATGAACAAGAGGCGTCGCTTTAGAAAAACAAAAAACCGAGAGGACAAACAGAGGAGCTTCATCGTCGGAGCTGCACTTAATGTGCATGAACGTGATGCGAGGTTTTAAAGCACTTGTCCAAATCCAGTAACGTTAGCAGGTTGTCGGTCTTGTTGGATTCATAAGTAACTTTTTCCACCTTGGAGGATTTATCGGTTATTAAAACATTTCCAGCTCACTGTGCCCTGGAGATGGGAATTATATCACTTCTTCTAGTACTACTACCATAAATATAATAATAATAGTTATCACAATAATAACACTCAGGTCTTACTGAAGAAATTTTAATTACTTAGTTTGCCCAAAATCCTCAGGTTTCTAACCTTATCTGTAGGAATTATGCCAAAACTGCAAACTAAGGTTAACAAGCACAAACTAAAATGTTTTCTTTTCACTCTATTGTGAATATGAACCATCAGCATCAACAAAATAATGGAAAAAGAGTTTGTTTTACTTCCTGGTCAAATAAAAATGCAAAAAGATATATATATTTTCCTTTGTCTGTGTAGCTTTGAGAAGTTAATCTGACAGAAACGAACAGAACCCATTTCAGTAGTCACTAAAACAGGGGTGGGCAACTCCAGGCCTCGAGGGCCGGTGTCCAGCAGGTTTTAGATATCCCCCTGGGTCAACACACCTTAATCACATGATTAGTTCGTTACCAGGCCTCTGGAGAACTTAAGGACATGCTGAGGAGGTCATTCAGCCACTGAAGCATCTGTTGGCTCAAGGACACATCTAAAACCTGCAGGACACCGGCCCTTGAGGCCTGGAGTTGCCCACCCCTGCACTAAGAGGTCATTATTCAAGTTCTAGCACGTCCAGACCTGAGGAAGGAGTGTGGGCTGGTTCTTCTTCAGCCTCTGCAGAGCCTCCAGAAGGAAAGGAGTTTCTCTGAATGCCAGAAAGCCGGCTATGTAGGGGGCCGTCAGGGTCACCATCTGACTGTCTTCATACAGCACCTGGTAGGGGGAGCAGAGACTGCTTCATTTCTTATGACTGAATTTTACTACACCGTCGGATTATCACAGTATTTCATTTCTCCATTGCAAGCAGCAATCTCCAAAGTCTCCACAGACACCCACACTAACGTCTTCATCACCTTCATTCATCATAACCCATCTTTTTTAAATGTTGTTAGGGGCATGGCTGCTTTGATTGACAGGTGGGCTGACACAGGCCAGTATCTGCCAGGTGTCACTTCTGCTGGCCTAACGAGTGTGTTACTGTTATTAACCTTTAAACCACGTTGGATAATTCTGCAGGATATCCATATTTCAGTCAGTCAGATGACCATAAGTATACAGAGAAGTTCATGGTAGACTCAGTGACTGCGGAGTGCCCAGGTCCTGTGGCTGCACAACAGGCCCAAGCACAATCATCGCCCCTCCATCCCCGTGCTTACAGTTGTTATAAGGTGTTTGTGCTGATATGTTGTTTTTTTTCCAGATGTGGTGCTGTGCATTATAATCAAACATCTCTACTTTGGTTCTGCAACTCTTGTGGTTTGTTCAGATGCAACTTTGAGGACTTTTGGAGAGCAGAAGATTTCTCTTGGCAACCATTTGAAAAAAAAAATCTTTGTTCATTTTTTTTTTTAACATAACGTTTCCATGTTAATTGAGGCCTTGAGAATCTGAGATGGAGCTCTTGGGCTTTTGCAGTTTCACTGACGATTGCATGGTTTGACCTTGGGGTGAATTTGCTGTGACATCCACACCTGGGATGTTTATGGCATTGTGTTAACACACACCTGAATCCTACAGACCAGCAAACCGCCCAAACTTCTGCTTTAACAGAGGTGCTGCATTTGATTAGCAGCATTGGCGCTTCTCAGCCTTTTATGTTCTAAGGAAGCAGTAAGTCTGTACTCAGCTTTTCACAGCACTGCACAGAGTCCTGTGAAAACTTACATTATTGCATGACTGTACATAAATGAGTCAGTCAGGGACACTGTCAGGGTGCTTTGGACAAATGCGTCCACCCTAGTGGATATGTAAGGGTGAGTCCAAAGGCACAGACAAGCTGTACAAGATAATCACCAACATCGCCCATCTGGCACAAAATGAAACATCTGCTCCCTGTTGATTAAAGGCTGTGAGTATATTCTGAACATCTGACAATTTATTTCATTTAAGTGACCTGGTCAATTAAGTGGACACAGTTACAGTTTAACTGTATAAACTCCTAAAATTTTGGTGTACATCTAATTTTTAATCTCATCCTCGGGAGGCCTGTAGTGCAGAGCGAGTTCAACAGCAGGATATCTACTCATTGTCTGACAACCACAAGAGGCCACATGAACTTGTAATGAGTCAGCCCATATTTTCTAAATCCCGTTCAAATTAAACGGGGATCACCAATCATGAACATGGAGAGGTCTCAGAAGAATACACAACTATAAGGCTCAACACATACGAGCCAAGCAAGAGCAACAACATCGTTTCTCCATGCTCCATGAAAGTTAGCTTACAGGAAGAGGATCTAAACTAGTTTTTAATAGGAGACTGAACTCAAGAGCTGCACCGGCACAAGATAAATGAGGGTTATTTTGAACTGAATAATACAAAGATACTTATGTGTCCATGAATACAAATCTGGAGCAGAAAAGAGCCCCTTTGTTTATGTAAAACACTATCAATATTGCCTAATTAACAGTCTTTGTATTGCCATGCAGACTACATTTTGATTAGAACCACAGCGGGTTGTAAAATCAGCACAATATATACTGTAAACAGCCTTTCCCATGTTGGCAGGATCCATGTATGTACCTCCCTCGCTGTCCTGTGTATTTTAAGCAGCATCGCCGCAGGTAAACATGTCTGCCATGATCTCCTTCCGAGTATCCTGTGAGGTACCAGCAGGGTCCAGGAGACCCTCTGAGACCTTATGCAGATTACAGGTGCACAAGCTGTCGCAACTTTCTGACCGGCATATAAAATCCTGTTCTGCTCACAGCGAAGAGATGTGCTCACATCTAACAGCATCACGTGTTATCGAGGCTGTTATCGGGCATGAGCTACAAATAAAACACACAAAAGCTGTCCGCCGAGTCGAGCTCGCAGAGGCTCACAGCAGAAACGTTTCTGAATACCTGCCTTGTCATCTGGCATTAGAAATGCCGAACACCTTTCAGGATATGTCATTGTCATATTGTCGACTGCCGTGACCTTCATCTCCTCACAGGCATATTTATTCAGTGAGAAACAATAAAATTATACAACTTTTGCTTTTTTTCTGTGTGACTTGCAGCAGCAGTGAGCACACTGTGGAACGTGGAACTAGCATTCTTTTGAGCCCCAAATAGCCTCAGGTGGCAATGTTGAAGTAAATTGAAAACAAGCAGGGAACATAATCACATTATTGAACAACATTTCTGAACACATTTCATTAGCCTCACTGGGTCCATGTATCAACAATGTATGGTGACATATGTCATTAATTATAATTGGAAGTTGCCAGCAGGCCGTGTTAATGCACAGATAAATAACTGCGAGGAGCAGTGCTGGTGAAAGGCTGCTGGGAAAGTAAATGAAGTGAAAAGCCAGACTGGGAAGGTTACTTTGAGCAGCTCTGTTGCATATTAACACTTTCACTGCCAGACTACTGTTTTCAATTTATGTGTATATTTTAAAAATAAGCACATTAGGGACACAGGCTACATACAGGATGACGTTCACTCACAGCTTTTCTGTGTGTTTACAATTCTATTTTACTTTAAATCAGATCATAATTTACAAAATCAGAGATCACGCTGCATTAAAGAAAAATTAAAAGGAGCGGCTGAGTACATGAACTCATCAGGAAAGATTTTATTCAGGTTATAAATGAAACGAAAGGTTATTGTCTTCTTCTATACAACTGGATCAGAAGCTACATCTATGCATGAAGTTTAATTATATTTAACATTGTAATTACTTGACATAAACGTATATATTTATCAAAATGTTTTTCTCAAGGCCAAGAAAAAAAAAATTTTGTCTTGGAAAAAAGAAAGCCGACAGAAGAAAGCAGCAGCTCTGAGGAAAACAAATATGCGCTCCTCGGGGTTTGCATTCTAATATGCCTAAAATAACGTTGTTGGCATATGACTGTTCATAAGCCCCATAGGCAGGAGCTCACAGGAGAAGTTATCAAAAGGTGAGGGTAAAACATTTAAAATCACTTCAGCGGCTCCCTAGAACATACCGACAGCCCCGGCGAGAGCAAGAATAATTTCTTCCTCATGCCGCCAGCTTTCAGGAGTCATAAAAAAAGCTGTGACTTCAAGGCGAGGAAGCAAGAGGAGAAAAACGCCCATAAGGACTTTGTATTCAGTGCCCAAACAAAGTAGATGCGACTACTTTAAAGGTTAACAGCTGGCCTTGCGCAATATTCCAGCTGCACGTATTACAAAGCCTTCAAAGGCCAAGCATTTTTATAAGGATAGCATTTTGTATCGTCATGTGTTTCCTTTTCATTAAAGGTGTCACTGGTGAAAAAAATGCAGCCTGTGGAATTCAATTTCTGATCCTCAGCCTTCTCCACGAAGCACTGCTGCTGTTCCCACCTGTCACCACTAGAGGTCAGAAAAGCTTAGATGTTTTTAAGTGTTCAAGTGTTTATTGAACTTTCTCACAAATTGAAAAATAGAAATTAAATTTTAATTTACATATATGAGTTTTAATCTGTAATCTTTTATTTATCTTAAACAAACAAAAACATATAAAGGGGGTTAGGGTTATAAAATAACACTAATGTTTTATGAAATATGATATATTTGGCATTACAGGGTTATTTTATCTCTGTTTACTGGATGTAGCGCCCAGGTAGCTCACCTGCAGATCTGGGTAGCTGAGTACCACAAGCTGGGCACAGGCATTGACGTCATCCCCTTTGATGAAGGAGAGGTCCACCCCACCAACTCGCTCCAGACCTGAAAAATCTGGGCTCCTCTGCCAGTCCTCTGTGTCGTCCTCCAGCACCTGCTGCCTCAGACGTGCCTGCTCACTGCATCGGGAAACAAATATATAAACATAAACACAGACAAATATAAACACACTCGCTGGCAATTACTTCATGAAAAAATATGAGGCCGGCATGTAAAGTCTATAGCAGACAAAAGGGCTGTTAACAGCAACAAATCTGAAAATCTCACAGTGGCTTGATGAACCCAGGTGGTTCGACCCCTGCTGTGGTTTGTAGAACTGCAACTAATTTAATTATTCAAAACAAGGGCTTATCTCGACAGCTTTCAAAACCAGTGACATTCACATCGTGAATTTTTAATAATGTCTAAAAGAAGAATCAGTCAGCTGATTGTATTGTACTGTTGAAATGTACATATCTGTAAATGTTGTAATTGTGTCTCTCTGCAGGACAGCAGGAGCTCCACACGCTCACATTAATCAGAGACATCAGGACATGATACAGACTAACATAATGATATCGCTGGTCTTGTCTTTACAAACAAGTAAATCAATGAAAGGCTGATGAGGTGTGGAGGTGGCTCAGCTCCAAGAGCTGCCTGTGTCGTGCCAAAGTAGTTGGCCCTGACAGAAATTGCATCCCCTGCACAGCAGCATCTGTCAGCACAGTCGCTGCTTTTTACTGACAAACGACATTTTTACAAACTTTAGTAAGACAGGTGAGAAAACCATTTACTGTCAAACAATTACTGCTGCTCTAATGTAGGATGAACAAACTAGAGATGGACCGATCCGATATTACGTATCGGTATCGGTCCGATACTGACCTAAATTACTGGATCGGATATCGGAGAAAAATAAAAAATGTAATCCGATCCATTAAATATCACGAAAGCACCTCACAAAACTTGCAACACGCCGTAACTCACCTCAGAACGTTAGCACGTCGGAGCAGTATGCATCACGTGATAGAGCGGCTGTGGCATGCGGGACCTGTCGGTGGTCTGGATAGCATTTGGAGCTTCGCTAGCAACCCGGCATTTCATCTCCGACAAAGTTATCCCCGAGAGAAGTAAAGCAAGTGTGTAAGTCCATCTCTGAATGTTTGTAAAGCATTCCTGCGTTAAGCTTAACGAGCGACTGCCTCTCGCTCTCCGGCTGCTACTTCAATCATGAAACTGCTTAATGATCAGCTGATCGGCTTTTCTGTCGCGAGTCCGTCTCTGTTGTTTGTTTTTGGCCCACTTTGCACCAGAAAGAGGAAACCAGTGGATAAACAACAGCAGCACGTTTAAGCTTGATCAGCTGTTGTTAGAATTTATTTAATATTACTTTCTACACCAGGATCTTTTTCTACGTAGCTGACGCTGGTAACTGTGCAGGGGCGGATCTAGCAAAGTTTAGCCAGGGGGGCCGATAGGGCATTAACTGAGAAAAGGGGCACAAAGACATACTTTTCTTTCTTATTCTCATTTAAAATGTCTCGCTTTTAATTATTTAATATTTATCTGAATCTTACACCCAAAGTTTTAATTTGATGTAAAATGAATGGAAGTCAATTACTGCATATAGTAACTGTTAAGTCTAATATACCCTAGTAAGCTATAGTACTTTTTCCTTTGGGAAGGTACCATCTGTGCAGTCTGCAATTTTGTTGAAGAAAGATGTTGAATCTATTTAATATTTCTTGAAAAAGAATTGATTGCTGTGCATTTTTTTTCACACTGCATCAAATTAAGGTTGAGTACGTCGATTAAGCATCATGAGGTGGAGTGTGAGGGGTGGTTCCCTATTTTTTATTTATTTATTTTTGTTGTTGCTGGGAGTTGGAACCCTATTAGTTAGGTTGCTTAATATTTATGCTAAGTACTCTTTAAAATACCAGAATAGGGAGGATGGTGTAGGTTTAAGTTTATTAGATTGATCAGTATTGCTGAACTATGAAATATTTTTTTTTGCATACAGGTATAACAGAATAGCTTTAGTGTAGTTGTTGTTTTAAACTTGAGTATGAACTTACACAAAATGCAGCAAGATATTTAAAAAACAGTTCTGTTGATTAAAAAACACTATATCGGATTCATATCGGTATCGGCAGATATCCAAATTTATGATATCGGTATCGGTATCGGACATAAAAAAGTGGTATCGTGCCATCTCTAGAACAAACACTGAGTTCTTAAAGATACAGAGACACAGAGAGAAAAGAAGAATATAAACAGGAAATAAATACAATCATGATGAAATTAAATAATGGTAATGAAAATACTGAAAATATATATTTTTAAAGAATAGAGACCTCTGGTATTTTAAGATATCGTCACTCTTGAAGCTGAATTTTTATCATTTTAGGATCCCAAAATATGGATGAGGTCGTTATAACTTGCGTTAAACGATTATAAGTAAAGCCTAATATGATTACACTCTACGGCACTGGTGCTGTTTTGGTATTTCACCATCCACTGAAGCTGAATTCTTCTGGATGGGACACTTTGGAAAACTTTGAAGATAAAGAATCAGCAGCGTTTGGAGCAAAACGAGTCTAATGGACTTAACTGCAGAATAAAAACTGGGTCGTATTTAAGGTGTGCTGTGAGTAGCTGAGACAGAACAGCACTCTGACCTTTCCCACTGCTGGAGCAGATCTTCTGCGGGAGAAGCGGACATCTGTCAGCCTGCTAATGAAGACACGACCAGCTGTGAAATTACTGTTTTTAAGAAAAGAAAACACCAACTGACAGCAGCAGGGAGAAGGCTGTTTACTTCCGTACTGCTGACGCGACTTTGAGGGCGGGGTCACTGGGACTATGCCGGTAAATGCTGCCACCTAGTGGTTTAAACTGTTAACTACATCAGGTTTCTGCTCACACCGCATGCAGCAGGATGTGTTAAGGTCCGAAATATGGCTCCTCATGTGGCAGTTCAGAGGTTCCCTGTTCGGCTGTCTTCCTGTACCTTCTCCACATACTTGAGACAGCAGGTTTGCAGTTGGACTCGCAATAGCTTCTGTTTCCTAACTGAACAGATTAATATCCCTGAAGTTAAAAGTGATTTTGCCTCAGACGCCGTGCAGGATGGTCATGGACTGAGGTTATTACAGTTAACTGCAATTAAAATAGAAACTAAAACCAGCTGAAACTAAAAATTATGACTACATGACATGTTCACGTCCTCCACAAAATGTGGTATTTGAAAAATTTCTCTAGTTACTACGTGAAACTAAACTTAAAAAAAATTTACAAGACAAAAGCTAAAATATAAAACTAAATTACTTTAGCCAGGTGAGAATATGGAGCAAATCTAGAATGACTGACTGTAATTTTTCAGTACAAACATTTTATTAATCATTGATGAAAAAATATATGGGCTCTTAAATGAGGGGTGAAATAAAAAGCACTGGAAGGAACAGTCAGTACAAATCATTACATAGTGATCATGTTGGACCTTTGTTCTTGATAAAACAACTGGATCCAGATGGGAGTCATCTCTCACCGCAGCACAGCAGGGGTCACTGAATAGTTTGATGAGGATGAAAATGATGTGAATCACCTGCTACGGCCTTCATTGTCCCCAGATCTAAGCTCATCTACAGGAAACATGTCTCCAACCCCAGTGTGTCAGTAAATAAGAGGATATGTTCTGGAAGAATGGTCTATATGGCTCCATTAGATGTGCAGAATTAGAAAATAATTGTTAGAGAGCACTGAAGTTATTTAAGACCTTACTTAAACAATTTATGTTAGTTTGTGGAGACATTCAAGAGTTAAGGGATAAACTGAATAGAAGATATTTAAGTAGCATTGTTTTGATAACCTTGTAAATTTTTTGTCCATTTTTATCCAGACAGGTTCTGAAATATGAAAAGCTACACAAACAAACAAACAAGAAATAATACATCAGTGTGGAGCTGCCATGAAATCAAAGTCATAAACTTCACAATCCAAGGAAATAATCAGCCAGACCTCCAAGACAGACTCAATACAACGCATTTTTTTTCTTATTTAATTTAATCACAAATCCACTACAGTAAAACCTATTCAGCGTGTGTTCTGCATTAGTAGAAGTACCAACACAGATTTATTTACAGTCTACATAAAAGTCTGCGAGCCTTTCGTCTCTGTGGCAGCGACGCCTCCACAGGTTCACTCCTTGAACTTCCACTCCTGCCGGCACATGGGGCACTGCTGCTGGACCTGCTGTGAGTTCAGCCACTTCAGGATGCAGTGCATGTGGAAACAGTGGGAGCACTGACCCCAGACCAGCGGGCAGTCATCCCCAGGCACTTTGCCTGCAAAACAAACAAACAAACAAACAACAACAAAAACACACATTAGAGAGACTGGGCAGGATTTTGCATTCAGTTGCTGATTAGCAGATATCCTCTTGTAATACTAAAAGAGGATACAAGTGTTTCCCCACACAGACCACTTAAGTATATTTAAGAACTCATTTCATCCATTTGTGTGAGCAGTGCCATCCCCGATCAATTTAGGCATTTGCTCTTATTTTGAAAGTTCAGTTGCTGTTAATCAGCTACCTGTGACCTTTCCCGTGTTGCCTTTTCTCCAGTGAGTGGCTCACAGGCCTAGCTGCTGTTGTGGCGGTCTTCAATATCAACCTAAAGAACCTACGGGCAATACTACAAGATACTGCAGCTGGAGTTGATCTCCAAGATGGGTCACTGGAGCGGCCATCAATCCATTTTCCACCACCGTCTCCTGACTGAAGTGCTCATCCTGTCTGTAAGGCTGAGCCCAGACAACACAAGAAGCTAATTTCTCCCACAGATATCCAAAATCTATTTCTTTCAGTCGCCTCTCAGCGACACCTTTTCCTTCATGCTACCGTGTCAACAGCGTCTGTGCTGTTAACAACCAGGAAGGTTCCTCTGCTCTTTAGTCCAGAGGATGTGGTGACCATGTTTTCCAAAAAACAATTTCAATTCATCTGACCTATGAACAGGTTTTCTACTTCCCCTCAGTTCATTTTGAATGAGCCCAGAGGAGATGTTGATCATCATCATCATTGTTGATCATGTTCACATACAGTTTGCTCTTTCGATATTCTGAGGCATTGCAATTTTATCTTGAGGAACATTTTTCTAAAATTGTTCCACAGCTTGTAGAAGCGTTTTTTTGTAGAGTGGTGATTTTTTGCCCGTCTCTGCCATCGTTCTCACTACTTAGTTTGTATAAACAGGAGGGCCAGGATAAATTTGGCATATTGTCGGTCGGATAATACATAAAGCGTTATATGTATTAGAAGCAAACCCACCAAAGAACAATCTTGTTTTGTTTTGTTATGTTTGCATCTTTAATGCAGCCACTCGTTACTTAGTGCTATGTTATTAGCTCTGATACTCACAGTCAGGACAGCAGCCGTTAAAGGCCATCCTGCAGATCCCACAGTTGTCATCGTTGGCCACCCAGAGCCAGGAGGCAACCCCGTTCCACTGTTTGATTTTCACCTTCATCCTGCGGATCTGACAGGAGCACAAACGCATCACACCGGAGCCGCTAATGCTAGCACGATGGCTAATGTTGACACACGATCTCTGAATATTAATGTTCAGCAACACGTTCTTACTTACTTACATTAACACGTCTCCTTCAGGTATCTCACACTCGTTAGGTTAGCAAAAAACAAATCATTTAGCGCTGGTTTGATCGACGTCTATAACATAAAAGTGATGTTTTAGCAACCCGGGCAAAAATCGTTTCTTCTTCTTCTGCTGAAAGACCGCCAGGCTGTATCCTGGGATGGGACATGCTGCCCTCTACAGTCAGTTTGGGGGAAAACCTCAAAATAAAAGAGCACCAAAGATCTGTTTTTGAAGAGAACAATCCTCACATCACCAGGTAAGTAACACAAAGGAGCTCCTGCCAGATCTGAAAAGGTGATGGTGTCATTCTAATGTTTACAACTGCTTTTTTTTTTTGACAAACATACTTATTTTAATGAACCTTTATTCTATCATTGAACATTTGAGGCAATCTGATATTTTCTATAATATAAGAAATAATAATTATTTTTTAAGGGGCTAAACAGAATTGAAATTGAAAGATTTGCAGGATGAACACTTGTACAACAATAAATCTGTAATGTGCACATAAAAGCAGCACATTTGGAAATTAATAAATAAATCCTTATTGTTAATGTTTAAAACAACTAGTTTCCGCGGCAACATCAAAACAGACAAGAGCATTAATATGAAAATATAAAGATACAAACAGTGAGGTAATATATGCAAAATAATAGTGGATGATGATTATAATATGCAGTGCAAAAAATGAAGAATGAGAGGGACAGGGGTTAATGCACTTGTAGTTCTCGGGGTAGGGGCTTATTGCAGTAGAATAGGAGAAGAAGAGGGGGGATGTATTTGACTGCCTGTTTGAAGAAGCTGTTTTGTAATTTGTAATCTGTGAGTTCTGCTTCTGATTGAGCTCTATTTCCAGAGGACTGTGGCATCGCTTCAGGTGATGTAGATGATGAATCCATTAAACTTACAGGTGGCTCTTTTTTTTTTTGGCACTCATCCTGTGTAAATCTCACCGAGCGATAGCGTCACACGTCTGGAACCACCCATGCAGATCTTTTCTGTTTGTGATGAACCACACCATGCAGCACTAGATGACGAGGCCCGCTATTGTTGACTGAGAGAAGCTGGTCAACAGGTGATGAGAGACGATCTTTAACTTCCTAAGGATGTAAAGCCTTTCCCCACCCGATGGGAGATATGTGTGGTGTGGGTGAGATTGACCAGGATGTGCACACCAAGGAACTTAAAGCTCTCCACTTCCTCCACCTGTAAACCTGAAGCAGAGTGCTCAGTATGCTTCAGTTTCCTAAAGGCTACATTGCTTCTCTGCTTTTTACTGGGTTTAAGTCCAGATTATTGTGACAACATCACACAGTCAGAGGTTGAACTCGTCACCTGCTATCGTGCCATTATTAGCAAATGTGACAGTGGTGTTGGTATGATGTATGTGTAGTCATGGGCTAAGAGCAAGTTGAGGACAAATATGCGAACACACATGAAAACCTTGACACGTCTCCATTTAGTTTTGTTTTCTTTAAAAGCAATTGTAATGCTAGACGTCCACTAGATGCAGTTGGTCTGCAATCCAATGTGCTGAGGTGATGCTCACACTTACAGCACTGGGAGCACATCTGGTCTTCCTTCTCCAGGACATTTTTGTGTGCTACACTTTCTATCCCTTCATCTTGTCAAAATCTTATGTATCCGTTTCTATTTTTTCTAACATTATTTTTACATTAAAGGAAACAAGCACCACGTGATGACGTTAATTTTCCATTTTACAGAATCTGAGATGATGAACTGTCAGTGATGAAATGCAGGTCACTCAGTGCAGAGAACCTTTGATCATTAGTGGAGCTGGAGATGCAGCATGAGGCCCGTATTTGTAAATTCACAGATTAACCATGTCACTAACAGATGACTGCAAGGAATGGAAAAGCAATTTTTAGTTCTAGGCAATGAAAACATTTTGATACAGAACGTAAAAAAGCGTGACAGGAGTCTGCAGTTTCTTATAATTCAAGTTTAATGCTGAAAAATGTAAAGCCACCATTTTCTCATTAATCCAAACATCCTTTTTTTACACAATATCTCACGCAAAGGTAAAGAGAAGATATGCAAAGATGAACACGGAGCAGAGAGACTGACGAATGTGATGAACAGTCACGACAGACAGTTATAGCCCTCATTTTTCAGTGAGATGTTGGTGAGAGGCGCTCACCCTCCAACAGCTAAAGTCAGAGAAGCAGGTTAAACTTCTGGTGTTCAAGAGAATTAACTGAAATGGAAATGAAAACCCATCCCATCTGAGCACACTTATTTATGCCTACAGCTTCAATTTAAAAAAAGAAAAAGGTCCACTCTGCTTTCTAAGATCTACACACAAAACTGGAGTGTGAACGTGTGAGAGTAGTAAAAGGAATATAAAGCAGTAGTCAGGTTTGAACTGTTGCCTCATCAGTCAAACCTGTGAAGAGATGAAGATCAAATCGCCTGAAGGAATAACCAGGTGAAGTCAAGTGTGCCGAGAGAAGAGTGGAGAAACACATTTTACAGGCATCTTCCTCCCCCCACTGTAATTAACATTCACCCCTTTACCCCATCACACACCCGTGGCCCTCATCACGAAGAGGGCCACTCAGTAAAACAATTCATGTTATTGCAGTTAATGACATGTAGATACCACAAGTTAACCAGTAACTATTTTTAAAAAAAGCAGTTTTGTGTATCAAAAACAGGCAAGGTCCTTTTTTTTTTTTCCTCTTCTTCATAGGAGGGAAAACGAATATGAACACAGATGCCACAGGTGTCTTGCTCACGAGCGCTGAGCATTTCCTGTCATCCAATCCTATAAATAATGCCAAATTTTTGTGCTTCTTTTTGATGTTTCACTGAAAGAAATGCTAAAACTTTCCACAGACGAGAACTTGTTTTACCGTTACGAATGTCTTTAATTTGGTATACTAAAAAGTAGTCCCAAGCTAACACTGTCATATACCAGCTAAAGAAAAGGAGATTCATATTTTATTTATCATTAAATATTTGATCTGATATTCGGTCCGAGAGCTCCAACATGCTCTAGAAAGACTCTAGAAACCCATGTGACCTATACCTGAACTGTAGCTACAGAAACCTACAGAGCTGCTTTAGGTGGGACTTGTTTTGTTTAAAGAGTCCCACAGAATAAAGACAGACTGCAGGAGTGAGAGAAAGACCAACACTGGCTCATCTGCAGCTCTCTTTTCAAGTCAGACTTTGACGGGACAGTAGACACGTTAAAGTGATGGAGTAATCCTGTTGCTTTTTACAGCAGAGTGCCACAGAGAAGCAGCTGCCGGACTGTAACGTTATTTTAAGCATTATTAACAGTTTCAGCACATGTATCATAAACACAGTTTTAACGTTTGTAACAACCCAAACTGCTCGAAAATCTGTGGAAAAATTCAGCGAGGTACAACGATCCGTGATCGTGTGCAGATGTGTGCTCCCCCCGAGCAACGTGGTGCTGCGTGGAGTCATTACAGTGAGGAGCAACAACCAGTGTGGCATCTGTGTGTATATATCTATGAGGAAAAACCCCCCCGCTTTTATTTTTTGCCGTTGTTGTCAGCTGCACTGTGTAACCATGGCAACAGCACCCAATGACTCTTGGCAAAGTTGAACATTTCTGCCCTCGACGGGGAGTCTGAGCTGTGCGAAGTCATCAATGCTCATCAACCAAATAGAACACGTTTAAAAAAGAAAATGAAATGTTCATTTGACTCACGATCGCTTGTCTGTTACAGTGGTGACTAAGTGATGCTTACAAAGGCTAAAATGGTATTATTTATTGACACATGGCTCTTAAAATGGCTATATCTTAAATCTTAAATAAGAGATCCGTAAACCCAATCACCGCGTGAGCATGCGGTAGGCCGCCATGCCACTTCACCCATCAAGTGTCTCCAAAACACAAACAAACCAACACTAGCACTTGTACAGTATCAATGTGGTCTACTGGCGCGCCGTCAAATGATAAATCACGAAAAGAAACATTCACCCCTAAAGCACTCTGAAATCTACATCACTCTGGAAACGTAACGATGGCAGTTCCGCCCAATTCACCACAACCATCCAAATTCAGGCATTTCATTGGCTGGCGCTTGCTAACCAATCAGTAGCACATTCACCAATCAGTGACAAGGCATTTCCTTGACTGCTTCATTTAACTTGAGTTCCTCAAATGTGCAGACGCTCGACAGAAAGCAAACGAACTGCGGCCGTTCCACGTTAAGATTATTTTTATACATATATTTTCAAAGCATGAGGTAGGGATGCACCGATGAATCAGCCAAGTATCAGCTGATATGATGGCGTTACTGACTTTTGCGCTGGCTAAATGTTCAAAAACTGTTCCATGAAGAGCTAAAACACATGCATTTTTTTTTTAAATAAAGTTTTTTTTTCTTTTTCTTTCACCTGGAACAAAAAAACAATATAAAGACTAAAAAAAACAATGTCAGTATCAGTGCTGGATTACGGCCTAGTATTTCACAGTCAGTGCATCCCTTACTACGAGGACAGAGCACGTGTCGAGGAGAAAATCTGGCAAATTATTTTTGTTTCACTCCTGACAAAAAGTCTGTAGACGAGAAACGGTGGTGCCACAGAATTCAGGCGTTTACCGACTCGAGTTTGCCCGTCTGTGCGCCTGTACGCGAGAAAAAGTTCATCTGCAATCTGCACCAGTGATGACGTTGGCCCAGCGGTGCAAAGCAGACTTAAAAAGAAAAAGACAACATTTCACCGCACAAGACGAGGTAAAGACATTGTTTTTGAAATACCCGAACCAAAGTCAAAGGACAAACATGATGTACTTTTTGACGCGACTTTAAAATGTCCTTTCAAACCCTGAAAACACACCGAGATAACAGGGCGGCGTGTGCATGCTGGTTAGGACTGTAGCCAGAGCGCAAACATTTCTTAAGCAAAGTACGGCCTCTGTGTTGTATAACCAAAGACAAAAAGGTAGCACTCACACAAGACCTCAGGAATAAGTCACCTTTACCAATCATGTCAAACATGAGTCAAGTTTAGTCACATGACAGGAATGACTCAGAAAACGTGGGATCTGTCAACTTACGCCTGAAGTATTGTGAGTGCTGCCTTTTTATCTTTGGTTATTCAGCACTGGGCCTACATCGCTTTGATAGTTGAAGTCTTTGACTCTCATAATACTCATTTCTGAATGTCCTTTATCAACTT